CCATCCATCCATCCATCCATCCATCCATCCATCCATCCATCCATCCATCCATCCATCCATCCATCCGATCTTACCCGCGTCTTCATTCTGGGTCACAGGGTTTCCTGGTGCCCATGTTGGTTAGATTCCAGAATAATGAATTCCTGAATTTATTTTATATAAAGTCAATATTTTGCTATTTTAAAGTTCAATTTTAAGAATAAAACTTACCATGTTGCAAATGTTACCAAATATGCTTGGAAAGTGGCAAGAAATAATTCATCCATATGACACACAACAATCTGTCGTGTCCAGACTAAACCAAAGCTCATTTTCTTTGCGCAGTCGGTGGTGAGATAAAATAGAACTGAACTGAATCATACTTTAATGTTACTTAAACAAGAACACAAACATAGAATGTTGTTCTCCAGGGCTTTCATCTGCATTTTTGTCTTTGTGTGGGTTTCTGTGTGTGCAGATTTCAGCAGATAAAACAGCATCTGTGCATGCTGGAAATCAAAAAGTCAACTACTCCATGGAGTATGAACTGATATGATTTATTTACTTGTGAAAATAATTCTCATTATTTAAGCTGTGTGTAAGTAAGTGGACTTTACCCACCCACTTCCAGCTGCAGTGGTCGCCTTGATGGAGTTGATTCGAAGGCGATTGGCGATATTCCTCAGCGCCTGAACTGTCTGCTGGTCGGGTTTGTGATAATCCTCCATGTGGACAAAATGTTGAAGTTTTCAGCACCAGAAAAAATGGACCAACAACAATCCTCTGATGGGTTTGAATGGTCGGTCTGTGTTCGTAATATATTTTAAAAAAATGGATAGCACTTTTTAAATGTGAGTATGTGTGTGCAGAGGGATGGAGAAAGAGAGGGAGAGCAGAAGAGATGGCGGCTTTATCCTTCAGGGTTATGCAGAAAAGATGCACAAAGACAGACACACAAACATACAGACAGACAGGCAAACAGTGGAGAGGGTGGGGCTGGCCGATGACGTAGGACGGGTGTTACTGCCAAACTAATGCCACTCATTTTATTGGTTCCTCTGTGTGTGTGTGTGTGTGTGTGTGTGTTTATTTATGTTGCCTTGTAAGATCCATTTTTCCAACTTGTACTACATTGTAAGGACCAACTGCTCCTTGTGGTACTGTTGGTGGGTTAGGTTTAGGACTAAGGTGTGAATTGAGAGGGAGTTAGGGTTAGGGTTAGGTATGTACTGGTAATGGTTAGGTTTAGGGTAAGGGTCAGGCTATAGAAATTAATGAAAAATGAATTGAAGTCAATGCAAAGTCCCTGTAAATATAGAAAGACAAATACGTGTGTGTGTGTCTGTGTGTGGTCGTTTGACTCTGATTTAGTGCGACTGTACTGTCTAAACAAATAATTCAAGTAAATGATGGTTGATTATTTGTTGTTATGTTGCAACACCAAGTCCCTTTTTCTTGTAGCGCATCCTATTTGTGAAGAAATCCTTGTTTGTGTTTATTATAAATACACAAGCAATCAAATAAATAAATAAACCATACAAAAAGGCCAGGTCTCGATCCTTAAAGAAACGTTTTTATGCCGATACTGATCATCCAGTCAGCATTCTGATGATAATCATATCTGTATACTAATATTACACAGAAAATGTGTACAAATAGACACATTTTACATTTGTGAACTAATTCATATTGTCATGTGTTTATTACACCTTTATTCTTCATATACATTGTTATATATATATATATATATATATATATAGATATATATAGATATAGATATATATATATATATATTTTTTTTTTTTTTTTTGTTACTTTTTGTGTAAAGGAAAATATATCAAAGTTCATGCTCAATCATCCACATACCAAATCCAATAATGCTTTCCAGATGACCTGACTGAGAATTATTGGATTTGGTACATGGATGATTGAGCATGAACTTTGGTGTCTTGAACCACTTTGGCTGTGGCTGCCTGCCTGGGAGGAGTCGATGAGGGACAGGACAGCTCCCAGAAACTATCTTATCTACAGAAAACTTGTTGGTGCACTTAAGGAGTGTACTGCTTCATGGGGAAACAGTTTACTTGGGACTCCTCAGACTGATGAAGTCCTCCGGATAGAGGGCGAAACGTCTCTAGAAAAAAGAAACTGTCCAGATGACCTGACTGAGAATTATTGGAAAGGAAAATATAATTTATTAGGCACAAAGTTTTAAAGTGATCAGTTCTCATATGAAAATATCCATGCAGTCAACAACAGACAATAGTAAACTCTTCTGTCTTCTGTTGAGCATTTTATTTAAGCAGACTGCTTTAAGTAAAACTGCATCAGGTGTTAAAATGTAAATATTGTATGAGGGAAGTCAAAAAGTAAAGAGAATGGGTTTTGCAGCCCTGTGCTCCAAGCTTGGATTTTTACTTGAGAAATTCCAGCAATGACTCAGAATTTTGTTTAACTTCAGCTTTTTTTTTACTCTAAAGTCACCTGGAGGGGAAACCGCAGAAGCGCTTTCTGTGTTTTAACTTGTGCCACTACCTGTTCTTGCTTTCTATTACTTCATAAATAATGGCAAAGAATTTGTCTTCTTGTTTAAAGGCGGTGCACCAAACATTTCTAAATGACTGTCATTGAAGAAAAGGTTGTCCTGCCACCTACAGGAAGGTAATTGTTGGTACATTTGAGTATTTGTCTCGTGAGCAAATAAAAGTCTGTTTAAAGTTTGAAGGACTCAAAAGCACCCAGTCAGTGAGCAACAAGGATAATTCAAGCTTGCTTCTGTGATCCCCACTGCACCTCTGAATGTGAGAGAAATGAGAACTCAGTGCTGAAGCTCTCTGGAAAGTTTGTGTAGGTTTATTGTTACAAATTTTAGATATATCTGCCAATGTTGTCAGTAATATGGAAAGTACATAGTATATACAATCATTGGTTTAATCCAAAGTGTCAGAAAGGTGCACTGATTAAAGTTGGACGTGGATTGAAGTTGTTTCAGTTCACAATTCCAGATCCCAATTTTGAAACATAATGGGTTGTATCGGAATTCTTGTACAAGTTGTGAAAATGTTGAGTTAACGCCTGAGTATTTCTTTATATTTTGCATTAAGGCAGCCAGACTTTCTTTAATCTTCTAACATGACCTTGATTAATATTTCTTCAGGCTTTCAGAAAGTATTTAAACAAAGGTATTTTCCTTCCTTCCATCTTACTCAGCTGTGAATGAGACATAAAAATGCTCCCAAACAAATAACGAACAACTCTTGTATCAACACATAACCGAAAACTTACAACAGAACCACATTTAAATTGGATATTTAGGCCAGTGGTTACCAACAACTTGCCATACTGATGCCATTTGTTCCTAATTATTTTGATGAATCTATGAAAAATCTAAACATACAACAGGGTTTGATACCTAAAAATGTATTTAAACACCAACGAAGCACAAACAAATATTTGGTGAAAACTTGACACGGTAAATGATCCACAGAAAGATACTTCTTCTTTTATCCACCAGTTGTTCCTTTTTCTCATTTTTAGGTGCGCACTTTACTGGACTTGACAGAAAATAAATGAAATAGCAGCTAAAAACAAAAAAAAAGAAAATAATTTTTTAAAGCCTTAAAAGACCTACTAAAAAAATCAAAAACTATTGATCAAGACCAGTTTGTTACAAGAAAGTCTGGCTGATTGGAAACAATATGTAAAGAAATTAGGGATGGTGGAAAACTTTTGGGGCAGCACGGTGGCGCAACTGGTAGAGCTGCTGCCTCTCAGCGAGCAGGTCCTTGGTTCAAACCCCGGTCCAGGGGCCTTTCTGGGTGGAGTTTGCATGTTCTCTCCGTGCATGTGTGGGTTTTCTCCGGTACTCCGGTTTCCTCCCACAGACCAAAAACATGCATGTTAGGCTGATTGGTAACTCTAAATTGTCCCTAGGTGTGAGTGAGAGAGTGAATGTTTGTTTGTCTCCATGTGGCCCTGTGATGGACTTGCGACCAGTCCAGGGTGTACCCCACCCCTCGCACAGTGATTGCTGGACATGGGCACCAGCGACCCCCGTGACCCAAAATGGAATAAGTGGGTAAAGATAATGGATGGATGGATGGAAAACTTTTGCACATTTCTGTGTAATGTACATGTTTTTCATGTTATTTTTAATTACATTCAAATGTTGAAACAGAGACTAGCTAGAGCAAAAAAGGAAGAGTGATGGCACAGGGGTTAGAAAAGGTGGGCCTGTGGTCAGAAGGTCATTGGTTCAACTCCCCAGACCAACAACGTGAAATTTGTGGGTGGGAAAGGAGAAACACCCACATTTGCCTCCACCACCACACTCTGGGCCCTCCAGCAAGGCCCTTAACCCCCATCATCTGCTCCCCTGGGCACCCTATGGCAGCTGTGCTCTACACAGAGGGATGTGGTAGCTCGGGGGTCTGTGGTTGCATCAGGAAGACATCCGGCGTTAAAACAATTGCCAAGTCTTCATGTGCGTTAGCTCGCTGTGGCAACCCCAAGGAAGGAAGCAGCCGGAAAGAAAAAAATTGACTAGCTTTAGCAACATGTTAGCTGTGTCACACAATGAACCATAAACTCCAGTTTGGCACACAAAGAAGAACTGGGCCAGAGATGATCCTGCATGTCATTTTGAAAGCCTTTTTCTGAAAGCCTTGTTGTTTTCTTAGTACAACACCAGAGGACACTGTCTTCCCATTAAAGTTGTAACAGCTGTGATAGGAATGCTTTGAGTGGTTGCATCCTGTAACCTCGCCAATAACTAAGAAAGATATTGGAAGCTGATCATTCAGATAATTAATTATGATATCAATACAGTGACGTGGAGTTAAAGTACTACACCAGGAGTGTTAAAAACCAGAGTGAACTCTATAAAAAGTGTCAGTATTTGGTCACAATGACGGGAGGTCAAGAAATTGAAATGGAGCTTATGATTGATGACTGTCATTACTGCAAATCATTTCTTTTCATCCAGATGCTTCCCCATCATGTCATCATCCCTGTGGATTCCCATCCTTTGCTGTAGATGGAAGGTCACATCACCTCTGCTTTCTCCAGCCAGGGTGATGCCAATCCTCCAGCCCCGTACTTCCGTCCGACATTGTCCTTCTCTTAGATTCCAGCAACTCCTCTGGGCTCCTGGGTCCTGTCAGAAGAGCTTCTCTTCACAGAGCCCCACAGGTGCCAGCCAATGGTAGCCCGGCAAGACAAGGACACGTGATGATGTTCGGCCAATGTCTGACACCCACAGCTGCGCACTTTCTGGAGGGAAAGTATATTCAGAAAGCATGAAGGTTTCTATTTTTAAATCGCTCAGGCTGGAAAAGAGGAGCAAAGCCACCACTTTGGAAACAATGCCTTCATGTGCTGACGTGATGCTGAGCTCAGGTGAGGAAAAAACAAATGCATTCACAGCAACGTTTGCCCCGAATGACTAATGGAATTTCAGAAATTGGCACATACACAGATATGCCAATGTGCACAAAAAGCGCGCTCACATACTTTCACACAAAAAGCAGTTTTCTCTAATTCACGTGCCCAGATTCTCACACGCTGGTGGATCTCATATGTCACTTTAATGCCAGTCACTCCTTGGGGCTCAAGCCCTTTCCTCTCTGCTCTTATCAGTCCATTTCCTTCAGTTGCCAAGCAAGTCACCGTGATGACACGGTGCTTGGCCTTCTTTCTGAGAGCTGTCTGTCACTCAGAAGCCACACCTACTGACAACGAACAAGACAAACGCATTCAGGATTTAGAAGTGAATCGTCTAAGGAGCATTTGCTCACGCCCACAGATAATCATTCTGGGTTAGGAACTGAAGCTTCCCTGACAAAACAAGTGAAAACAACAAAAGATGCCTCAACCACAGTGCCAGTCTAAAAGTACCACTGCTAAAATAAGGTGAGATAATTAGGGCAAAGAGGATTGAATGAGCTATTTTAATGACTGAGAGTTTCTGATCAGCAGAGGAAGTGGG